ATCTTTCCGAGGGGGCCGCGTGCCGCCATTGAGGTCATCTTCCTGCGCGCGCCACGACTCGGGCGCGGCCCAGCCGCGTGCCGTCGCATTGTCACAGAGGGTTCGGGTACTCATCGGTGCACGCGAGGCGACGTTTAACTGAGTCTGGGGCCATTATCATCCGTCAGGCTAGTTTTACTCAAGTGTACGTCAAGCGTGAACGATCTAGCCAGCCATCCACCCCCACCCCCCACTCCCCCCCCCACACACACACTCAGCAATAAGTTGGGCTTCCATGTACAACCAAATACATCAAAACAACTCATAAAGGGGCTTTCTTTAAAATGATGTCAGCAAGCGTCTCGGAAAAAATAGACCTACGTGGTTTGTACGATAAGAATACTCATGTTAATATTTCTTGATACACAGTTTTGCAGGCTGTTCGCTGTACAAGACGAACACTCGAGGTGGTACACACATGTAGAGAATACAACATTGTGGTTGGGGGAAAAAACAAAACAATAATAACAGCAACAAAAAAACAAAAAAACAACCAAAACAAAAAAATACAACACAAAAACCACAAACATAATTGCGACCACGTGCAAGTAAGTTGTCCTTTTTTGCTATTGTTGTTGAGCCTTCTCGTCCATGAGGGGCATCCACCGATCATCGTCGGCGTCTGCGGTTCTTCCAAGGGCATAGGCCACCTACGAGAGACCTCCAGGCATCTCTATCCTGGGCCAGCTTCTCCAGGATCTTCCATTCATGGCCAATTTTCTTGATGTCTGTCTCCAATTCTCGGCGCCAAGTGTTTCTTGGACGGTCTCTTTTCCGCTTACCCTGTGGGTTCCATTTCAGGGCTTGCTTTGTTGTGTTAGAAGCAGGTTTTCTTAGTGTATGACCAATCCACCTCCAACGCTTCTGGAGAATCTCTTCCTCAATGGGCTTCTGTTTTGTCCGCTGCCACAGTTCCTGGTTGCTGATTTTGTCTGGCCAGTGAATTCTGAGAATCCTTCTTAGACAGTTGTTGATGAAGGACTGGATTCTGGTCAGGTTTACGGCCGTTGTTCTCCATGTCTCGGCTCCATATAGCAGCACAGGAAAATGGTATCGCAATTTTTTCCTTACTTTTAACTTGCTGCCTAAGTTGTTAGAGACCCAAACATTCTTGAGTTGTTGGAAGGCTGCTCTTGCTTTTCCTATCCTTATTTTGACGTCCGCATCTGTACCACCTTGTTTATCTACCATGCTGCCAAGGTAAACAAAACTGTCCACCTCCTCAAGGGCTTCTCCTTCAAGCATAATGGGTGATGTACTGGTGGCATTAACCTTGAGGATTTTACTCTTCCCTTTGTGAATGTTGAGACCCATGCTAGCAGAGGTGGCTGCGACAATGTTTGTTTTCTCCTGCATCTGTTGTTGGGTATGCTATTACACCGCTCAAACCTCTCCCCCACTTCCAAAAAAATTATTTAAAAAAAATTACTTATTTTTAGAAATAATAATAAGTATTTAAAAAAAAATTAAACAATAAAAAATTAATCATTAAAAAGAAATGAAGTCAAGAAATCAATCGAGGGAAAACAAAACAGGAATTAATAAAATATTTGAGAAACATTTTTTTTTTTTTGGGTGGGAAACTCATTTGCCTTTATTTTCCATGTATATCGTCTTTAAGATACACTAAGGCTCGAAGATGTTAAACCAATGTTTGGCTAATGTAAGACCAATGCTAGAAACATTTTAGACCGCATTTAGGAAAATGCTTGATCCATGTTTGACGAATATTTGACCAAAATTTGATCCATGCTAGACGAATGTTTTACCAATGTTTGACGAATTTTAGACCAGTATTAGACAAACTCTATACAACTTTTGGACCAATGCTAGACCCATACTAGACACATTTTAGACAAATGTTAGACCAATGCACTATCGGCTGCCATTTTTTAATATAGATTAAACCGATCTAACAATAATCTCAATGAGGGCGCTGTGTATGAAACATGCAGATGATATCTAACAATGATCTTAATTAGGATGTTGACAAACCTATTATATCTATACATCATGTTTTATATGTAAGTTCCCTTTCATATTAACCAGATGTCTGCCTCATTTGGCTAGACATTACTACTTAGAAACATGAATTAAACAAAAGTAATTCAACTTGATTCTGTCATATTCTCTATTTATCTCTATTTGTCATTTTTAAAAAAAAAATATCTTAACTTTTAACAATTATTATGTTCATGAACTGAATTATTTAGTTCCCGAAACCAAACAATTTTTTTATATTTTTTTTTAAAATTACGATTCCCTGCACATTTTTAAAAATACAGTTGTACAGTTTTGCATTTACTACTTGTACAAGTTTTCAAATTCTGAACAAAAAAAGTCTAAGATTAAAAGTTTCTAATGGAGAGTAAAATTCGTGCCTACAATTTTAAGAATAATTAACTTTCTCAAAGCCATAGAAAATGGCTCTCTTAAGTTCTTAAAGCCAAGCCACATGCCTCTTTAACGCTGACACACACACACAAGTCCCTCACATTTATTATTATAAGTCGTGCCCCCCCCCCCCTTAGGTAAACAATGAAAAGGTATTTTACCCTTACGGGGCGTCACGTTGACAACCTAAGAACCTTTGAGAGCAGTGGTGGGAAAATCGACATCCAGGGCCACAGCCCCTTTTTGTAAGAGCAGACACATGCCTGAATGGGCGTTCAGTAGCAGCGCCGCGCGTCCCTGTGCAGGGCCGCACCGTGGCGCGTCCATCTTCTGACTAATGATCTGTAAGCTGTGTCTCAGTGAATTCACGACCGGAGCGTGCGCGCCACAATAGCCGAACCCCAGGGCAAAATCGTGTTGGGATATTTTCTTAACGAGGCACCGCCTTGTCTGCTCCGCGGAGGGTGAAAATGAAGCTAATGATAGTCTATTATCACCCTGCTTGTTAATTTGACGCAATTACGGCCCCTGGCATGTTCGACCATCGGGCAATTAATTTATTCTCCCCTTTCACCTATCTCCCTTTTTCCCTTTCGTGTCACTGGTATAATAGTATATTTTTAAAAGTCAATTAAGTAGCCTTTTTTTTCCCTCTTCCGACCACAGTCATATTAGTTTAATATCTTTCAAATAATAATAATAATAAAAAAAAAAAACGAATAAATTCAACAGTACCTAACAATTGAAATCTATTTAGAGATATGTTTAACATGGTGAGAAATCACAATTTATAAATCCTTACGGTGTAACACTAACTTGGTGGAGAAACAAACACACAGATACATAACATTAAACTAAATATATTTTGAATGTATTTTTAGCAAAGAATGAGTTACGGGGGACACCCGAATAGACATGAAAGAGATACCACACATGTAATGTTAGTTCAAATTGATGTATTTACACAATAAGACCCTGATTGTTATTTTTTTTTTTTACCGTTGCATGGACCAGCCTCTCAAACGGCATTTATTCACACGGAGTTAACCAATTACCATTTATTAAATTACTTATCTAAGCTAATTATGTGTTGAAGTTATTTATTTATTTTTTTTGAAAATTAATCATTAATCTGAAATAACAAAGTAATTGTCGGTAGCATGTGTGCAGCTCATCATTAGAGGTGTGGGTAGGGCGGCCTGTGTTCTAACAGCTTTGTCTGAGATAAGGCGCGTGACCTTCCGCCCCCATCCCCAACAAATAATGTAGAATGCTTTCATAATAATCGTTTCCATCTGACACCATCAAGCTCGACCTGGTGTAAATGATTCTTACTGCTGCACTTCACCGGGTCTTTCCTTGCCGCCTTTCCCTGCCGCATTTCCCTACCGTCTTTCCCTGCCGTCTTTCCTTGCCGCCTTTCCCTGCCGCATTTCCCTACCGTCTTTCCCTGCCGTCTTTCCTTGCCGCCTTTCCCTGCCCCATTTCCCTACCGTCTTTCCCTGCCGTCTTTCCTTGCCGCCTTTCCCTGCCGCATTTCCCTACCGTCTTTCCCTGCCGTCTTTCCTTGCCGCCTTTCCCTGTCCCATTTCCCTACCGCCTTTCCCTACCGTCTTACCCTGCCGCCTTTCCCTGCCCCATTTCCCTACCGTCTTTCCCTACCGTCTTTCCTTGCCGCCTTTCCCTGCCCCATTTCCCTACCGTCTTTCCTTGCCGCCTTTCCCTGCCCCATTTCCCTACCGTCTTTCCCTACCGCCTTTCATTACCGTCTTTCCCTACCGTCTTTCCCTGCCGTCTTTCCTTGCCGCCTTTCCATGCCGTCTTTCCTTGCAGTCTTTCCCTGCCCTAATCCGCTGCCCAATCTAAAGCTGATTAGCGTGGCCCTAACCGCAGCGCGCTGCTCTTTACTCAGGTGGCTGGACACATTTTCTATCACATCTCTTCTTAAGTTCTACAGAAATCAAGGACTTAAAACGAACACTGTTATAATTAAGATTACGATGTTTATATTGGTCCAAATAACTGGAAATATTTTTTTTTTATATTACAATAGATTGGAGAACAAATGAATATTTCTTTGAATAGTGAAACTGCTAAAAGTGTCCCGGTACAGAAACCTACGTCAAGTGGGAAGGTGTTGGTTCGGGTAGACAATATTAAATCGTCAGGACAAGCTTACAATAGCTAAGGAGACAAACCAACCGTTCGAAGCGGGAATAGCTGAATAATGGGGAGGTCAGCGGGACATTGGGAGACGAAGATCGAGAGAGGGAAGAGTAATTGGACCCTGCTTTAGATGTAGACAGGAGGGACACTGGACAGCTAATCGCCCTCGTAATGAATATCTCAATGAGCAAATTTAGTTCACTGCTTTTATTATCGTGGTATAGAAAACAATGTTGATGGCAGTTTTCGTTTGTCTTATATTAAACATAGCCTTGAAGAAATATAAGACATATATCTGTAGATATCTACAGTTAAAATTTATCACTCGTTTCAAACTATTGACTTAAATTTGACTTTTAACACATTTTCATAAAACATTCTAGCTAGCACAGAATTGAAGTCGCACATATTTAGTCATGACAATGCTAAGGGCAATAACTAGAAATAAAAGAAGTGTTTTAAAGGTAATCTCCCTTTCATCATTTTAATTGCGGAATACAAAAATTGACAATGAAGTAACAATTTGATTGTACAAGATTAAATATATATCTTCGAATTGTAAAGTTAACAATCAATTGTTGATATTTAGCTTAGAACATCCTAGCCATCAAACTGATTTCAATAGTTTGGTCCTTCTTTTCTGTCGTTGAGTAACTCCACACTTTAATTTCAAAATGCACGAATTAAGGGTTAGCTATCGCTTGCAATAGGTTCTGGTCTAAATAACAAACAGACGACTTCCTATTTACAAATATCATACGGTAATTATTTAATTTTAAGAAAACATAGAAATACATTCTGTACATTATATGATTACATTTGTATCAGGAAATATATTGCTGGCCATTGGAGGGTGAATATGTTAAGTAATATATAAAGAAAAAAAAAGTATAAGCCTTGTTGCAATGAGCTAAGCTTTTGTGAGCAAACAGCTGTGGCAGAGCATGCTATCTCGGCATAGAGAGTACGGAACAAGCTTCTTGGAGACACGCTGTCAGTTTCGAGTAAACGAGAGCTTTGGGGCCCAGCATGAGTTTCAGTTTTAATCGGTCAACATCTTTTGAGTGGCAATTGTTACGAACTGCACGAGCAGCTCTTCAGTGGCATCTTTACGTCTATGGGTCATTTCAGTTTTCAAGCAATGGTCCATATGACAAATATTTCTTTATTAAATGAGGCCAAGCGGGTCTTCCGTCATCCCGTTCTCACCCTGCAACTCCATTACTAACACACACACACACACAGACACACAAAACATAACATTTAATGAAGACATTTCCCATACCCAAATACGTCACAAATTACAAAGCACATAGCAACAGATACACAGATATTCTCAGCGCCAAACACGCACCCACAAAACACGAACAAAAATCATTAACAGGAATGTATAGGACAGCAGGAAGGTGTATGACGGGTAATTATTGTGAGATAACAAATCGAGAGTATGATGACGTATTCAACCAAGGTCCCGTTACGGTGAGTTAGTTTGTTGTTGCCATCCTGTGTTGTTTATCCAGTTCGTAGTCATCCAGAGGTGTATGGGTAGATCCACAACAGAGATGAGCTAGAGGTAGACAGATATTGCGAATCGTTTTTTTGGAGATGTAAGCTATTGTTACAGCCATATTAAAACTAGATAATTCATATTTAAATTGTATCTAGCCTGCAAGTGGTGTGTTGGATTTGCCGTTCAAATGTTTAATTATTCAATATTTTGTCATTCAAATATGTTTTTCATTCAAATAGTTTGTCAATCAAAATATTTTGTTATTCAAATGTTTTGTCATTCATATATTTTATCATTCTGATATTTTGTCATTCAAATATTTTATAATTCTAATATTTTGTCTTTAAAATATTCTTTTAAATAATTTGTCATTCGAATATTTTGTCATTCACACCACGCATCATGGGGATAGTCTCGACAGGGATGTCGAATATAGTGTTTAGTTCTGCAGGTTGATCCTCAATACTTCCTTTACTACATCATATTTAGTGTCTTGTTCTATAGATTCTTTTTCATCCATTGCACATCTAGTGATCTTTTCCATTGATTCTTTATGGTGTGGATATATTGCTAGGTTTCTAAAATATGTTTTTTCCCTACAACATTAAAGCTAACCATGTTAAACTTATTCTTGGTGAGAACTTTGTTGTCCTGTTGTACTCACATTATCCTATGATTACATTTAAAAAGGCTACAGCACAAGGGTTCAGCCCCACTATGGCCCACAGGCTGATGAAATGACCTTTGACCTAAGTTCTGAGGTTCCTTTGAACACGGTGTTTCTACGCGGCTGTGGTTTTGGATCGGGTCAAGGTCCCCGGCGTCATCCGGTCGACCTTGAACTTGCCGAGTTTCTCCGCCGTAGGTTTGTGATGGAGATGGCCCATCTGAAGCTCGGTGACCTCATCGTTGGTCAGTCGAGCGGTCGGCCTGGCCACGCTCTTGAACCTCGGTGCCTCTTCCAGGGCCTCGTCCCAGACGTTTCTCTTCTTCTTGGACTCCACGGTGTACGCCTCAATGGTGGTCAGTGTGGATGGTGTCTTGCTCCTGGACACGAGGGGTCGCCTGTAGCTAGGAAGTAGCACTGTTACCGGGTCAACTCCATAGCTTTTCATAAAGGCCGCTCGCGTGATCGCCTGAAAAGCAAAGGTTTTCACATAGATATATTGGGTGATAAAAAGAGATTTGTTTAAGAAACAGAGTTCTACATACTATCTACTCTATTAATTTTCATATTTTTTATTTGAGTTATTTTTTTATAACATTTAAAAGTAGACGTTATTTTCCAGAAGTGAATTTAATTATTAATTTTTTTTGGGGTCTTTAGCAGTGGTTCTCAAGCAGTGCTCCGACTGAAATGAACTTCAACTTCCTCTTTCTGTTCTTTCGGATACTATATTTAAGCTAAGTTAAAATTATTATATTTTTTTTGACTGTTCAATGACGAAGACTTTTTGCCGACACGATTTGCGCAATTATCGCGTTTTCCCTTTACTTTCACTATATATATCTCCTTGAATGACAATAAAAAGATAAGGATAAATACAGAAAAAAATATTGAGGCGCATCTGGAAGTATTGAAAGACTTATTCGAACATTATTGGCTTCCAACTCAAGAGGTTGTGCTGGGTGATATTAAATGGGTACTGAATATGTTAGTCATGAGGAAAAAAAACACAAACTCTTAGCGGAATATGAGGTCCTTATATTATTTGAAATCTGACAGTGAACAAAAAAAGATCGTTTTAGATATTAGACTAAAAAAATTCATCGGAATTGTTTTTGCACGATAAAATAAAAATATTATATGAGAATGCAGAAATTAAAATTGCAGCTCTCTCGACAAAGTTTCTTTCTGTTTCCGCTTAAGTGCAGAACCAACCCTTCACCTGGAACGATCACTTAATTAATACAAAACAAGAAAACTGTGCACAATAATACAACACCGGGAGTCTTTCAAACAAACAATGTATTTTATGTCATGCTAAATCCTATTTTATCTTTCCTTGCCAATCGCAGAGCTACTCCTACACATTGTCAGTTTGCGAGACACAGGGTAGGCCTCAAGGGCTCCACCATAGAAACTGATTCCAAATAGGGGCTTCGCGGGTTAAGAAGGTTGGGAACCACTGGTCTTTAGTATTACAATTACTCTAGACTCCAGATAAATACACTTAATGTACTTTAAAAGCCAAACAGTGCAACTCAGCTTATTACTTCTTGCTTTCCCAGCGTTATCTAAATGAATTCATCCAGCTAATATGTAAATTTACTTTACTACTACTTTGTTTACTAAAATGTAACATTGTAATCTGGTTATTTTGTGATATAACCGAAGACTCCCCCCACCCCCAAAAAAAATAAATAATATATATATATATATNTTTATTTATTCTAGAAAACTCCAACCCACAGCACCAACCCAAGTATATGTCTACCACAGAACAACCCATCTATTCAACCAACTCTTGTTTGATGTTCCTCGTAGTTTAGAACAAGAGGACACGAGAGATGTACTCACTTTATCTGACGGGCCTCTCTCCACCAATATCATCGGCTCGTAGTTGAGACACTGAGATTGTCTGAGAAAGCTCTGCCTGGACTGGTGCAGGCCGTGCTCGGTCCTCCTCTGTTCCCTGGGGACAAAAGACAACCGTGACGTTATATATGTGTACATATGGCATCGTTCCGACTTCGCGAGACGATGGAGTAGCTATGTAGTCCTACACTTCGACGAGTGGCTCATTAGGCACAAACTCTAATTACCCCCAAATATATATTGCAGTTACTTTAAAAAAACAAATTCAAACCTTTAACTAAAATTTAAATTGTCACTGGATAGAAACTGTATGACAGAATACACTAATGAGTTAAAAAAAACAAAAAAAACAAAAAAACAATTTGACTTGGTATAAGCAGCAGTTGAGATATTGCAATTATTGGACTGGATTTAGTCTTTCGGCTTTTTAAATGCCTCAGACCCATAGGACTGGAAATAAACAAAAACGCAGACGCATCTATTTTCGAGTTACCTGTCAATTTTTCCAAGGTGGGGCCCTAGACCAGGGTCCCCTCTGATATGAACATTCAGCAAGCACTCTCCCATTTTGGAGTCTTTAGGGCTCCTTGCTGCTGACACGGCTTTTTCCTTGTCCTTGGCTGAGACCTTTGACGTGGGCCTCAATGCTGTCCTCATCTCGCTCATCACGAGATTACGGCGCTCTCTGTTTGAAAACAGTCACAGAAGGAAACAAAGGCTTCAGTATAACATTCAGTGCACATGTTTAAATAACGACAAAAAGAAGAATAGTTAGAAAGTTAGAGAGAAAGGTGGAGGGAGGGAGAAAGAACGAGGCGGAGAGAGACAGAGAAAGGGACAGAGCGGGACAGAGAGAGAGAGAGAGAGAGGGGGGAGAGAGGAGGAGAGAGTGAGAGAGAAGGTAAGGAGAAAGGGGAGCAGAGTGATCTAAATATATATATATATATATATATATATATATATATATATATATATATA